GGGAAGAGAGAGAGAGGGAGGGAGAGAGAATAAGAGGAAGGGAGAGGAAGAAAGAGAGGGGGGAGAGAGAGAATGGGGGGAGAGAGGGAGAGAAAAAGAGAAAGAGAGAAAGAGGGAGAGAGAGAGAGAGAGAGAGGGAGACAGACAGAATAAGAAAGGGAGAGGAAGGAAGAAAGAGAGAGAGAGACAGGGAGAATGAGAGGGGGAAAGGGGGAGGGAGAAAGGGAGAGGCAGAATGAGAGAGAAAGAGGGAGAGAGAGAGAGGAGAGGGGGGGGCACCTACAGGGTCCCGTTGGCGTAGACGGCCTCTCCTCCCTCGATATACTGGACTTCGGCTGGGTAGACGTGCTGCACTGTTTGCACCTGGAGGGAAGGGGAGATTTAAGTGGGGGTGGAGTCGGGGGCGGGTGGGGGGGATAAAGGGCCATGCAGAGGGAAAGAGGCTGAGTTCTTGATCCAGCGCACGTGCGCGCGGGCACACACACACACACACACACACACACACACCGCTGTCGAGGGGTCAGCCGTCCGCCTGCCCCCCCCTTTCCCCCCCAGCTGGACTCCCTCAGTCAACCAGGCCAGCCCGCCCCTTGCACCATGGGAGGAGGGAGGGGGCAACGGGCCGGATCCCCCCCACGCCACCCCCACCCCCACAGGCCAAAGGCCAACATTGGGACCCCTCTGGACATCGTCCCACCCTGGAGCCCCCTCCTCTTTCTCTCTTCTCCCTCCCTCCCCTTCCTTTTTCCTTTCTTCCCTTCCCTTCTGTTCTATCGCTTCTTCTCTTCTCCTTCTTTCCCTTCCCCTTCCCTTCCCTTTTTCTTTTCCTTCCTTCCTTCCCTCTTCTTTCTTTCTTTCCTTACTCTTTCCCTCCCTTCCTTCCCTCCCGTTGGCAACCTTCCAAGTGGGCAAGTTGAGCGGGCAAAGCCGGATGGCCTTAAAAGGACCCGGGGGACAAGTTTGAGAACGGTGGGGGATTTCGCTTAAGGGACGCAGCGAGGAGGAGAGTCGTCGTCGAAGCGGGGGCCAAACGGCCCTTGAGCACAAACGCCTCGCTTAACGACGTCCATTTGGGTTGTACCGGAAGTGTGTGTGTGTGTGTGTGGGTGGGTGGGTGGGTGTGTGTTTTAATTAAATCCTGTAAAAACTCGCCCGTCCAAAGCTCGTCTTTCAAGACCAAATTTCTCCTGTTGGCTTTTCAACGTAAAACAGACATAAATCTTTGCTTGTTCGAAGGGGATTGGCGGCTTTGTGTGTGTGTGTGTGTGTGTGTGTGTGTGTGTGTGTGTGTGCGCGCACATTTGTGTATAGAAAACAAAAACAGTGCAGTCTTTTCCGGCCACAAGGTGGCATTAGAAACCAGGCCATATCCAGGTAGTCAGATAACAGAGAACAGATCATCAGAGTGGGAAGGGACCTTGTAGGTCATCTAGTCCAACCCCTCCGCCCAAGCGGGAGTCCCTACACCATTTCTGACAAATGGCAGTCCAGTCTCTTCTTGAAGGTCTCAAGGGATGGCGCTCCCTCAACTTCCGACCACAATGGACCCCAAGTAATATCCATCGCTAAGCGAGGCAATTGTTAAGTGAGCCTTTGCCCCGTTTTACGACCATTCTTGACACGCGGGGGGGGGGGGTTTAAGCCAATCCCTGAAATTCTTCAGTTAGTAAACACACCCCCCCGGTTGTTAAGTGAAACCCGGCTCCCCCCCCCCGACTCGGCTGGTCAGAAGGTCGCAAAAGGGGGTCGGGCGGCATCGTCGTAAATAGGAGTCGGCCGGCAAGCGGCTGATCGCATGGGATGCTGGGATGGCCGCAAGTGTGAAAAACTTGGGGGCGAGTCACTTCTTTTCAGGTTGCTTGTCATTTCGAACGGTCACTAAACGAACGCTCGTAAGTCGAGGAATACCTGTTATTAAGGCTTAAAAAAACCCACAAAACTAATGCAAACTAGGAAAAAATATAAAAAGAGGAAAAAAAGGAGCCCGGAGAAAATTTTTTTAAAACCAACCAGAGAGGAAGGCTTCTTAAAATTAACTGAATTCAAAATCTGATGGAAAACAGATTCACAGGATTGGAAGGGACCTTGTAGGTCATCTAGTCCAACCCGCCTCCCAAGCAGGAGACCCTACGCCCTTTCTGACAAAGGGCATGTAATGACAAATGAAACAACCGAAATTTGAGTGACACACCCATACCGCACGAAAAGAAAAGTCATCAAACTACACCGGTTCGTGTGACTGAACTGTTTTGCAACCACCGAGACCTTAACGTTGCAGGCTCCGTTACCGTCGCAAACTCGAGGACTAGCACCTAAACCGGGTCTAAATTTAGACAGAAACCGTTAGGGTTAGAATTTGGGTGGGAGACCATCCGGAGACCGATTTCGAAATGTTACAAATGGACGAAAGCCCAGATGGGAGGGGAAATTAAGATATTTTTTTTTGAATCCAATTAATTATAAGCAGGGGTGGGATTCCAAAATGGGAGGGGCCGTGAGGTGGGCGTGGCCTACCGGAACGTCCGGGAGGGGCCGTTTTTCACCTTTCCCAGAGTCCGGAGGCTTCCCTCGGGCCTCTGGGAAGGCGAAAACGGCCTCCCCCAGGCTCTGGAGACCCCGCCCGGAAGCCGGAAACAGGCCCGTTTCCGGACTTCCGTAACTTGCAGGACGGCTGTTTTTCGCCCTCCAAGAGCCTCTCGGTGGACCCTGCCCCTTACCTGCGTCCAAAATGGGCCACCTGGAGGCTCCTGGGAGGGGAGGGTGGGGCCAGCCAGTCGGTTCAACGACCCGCTTCGGCAAACCAGGTGTAAATTTAACCCCTGGTTTGCCAGAACCAGCCTGAACCGGCTGAATCCCAGCCAAACCCTTTTGCTTGCTTGGTTTAAAATCTCAGCTCTTTTTATAATTTTTCTTACTTTGCGTGAGTTTTTTTAACCCTAGCGTCATGTGGCAACTATAAAACGTGTGGCCTGAGGCTCATGATTTAATTGGGAGTAACGGCCGGAATCTGATCCCTGTCGGAATCTGATTCGGAGGGGGAGGCCGAGCAGCTGACAGGGAGCGGGACCGTGGCTCAGGTGGCTGTGGAGGAAACTGGGGAAGGGCAAAGTCTGGCTGGGCAGAGCAGGGAAGAGGTAGAACAAGGGAGAGGGAATTCAGAGGAAGACGCAGGCCCACCCCCTCTTCATCCTAGGGCACGCAGGGAGGAATGGAGAAAGGAGCAAGGGGAGTTGCGTGGCTTACGGGGGAGGAAAAGGCCCTGATTCCCTTCATTAGCTGTAGCTGGGAACAAGCCAAACTGAAGTAATTAGTTGGGCAGGGCAGGAGCAAGAATTTCAGACTTGAAAGCATGGCAAAACTCACAAAGTTTGAAGACGCCAAGAACCCAGATAAGCAACAACAATACCAGGTAATTCACGATGTGCTCCCAACAATTTGCTGTGCGCAGCTTCCCTTTTTAAACATTGTGTTCCCAGCCGCAGCTAATGAAGGGAATCAGGGCCCTTTCCTCCCCTGTAAGCCATGCAACTTACATTGCTCCCTTCTCCATTCCTCCCTGTGTGTTGACCCTCTTTTGGACTGAATTCTCTGCAGTCAAAGGCTGTTTCTGGGAGAGTTTTCCTCCAGCCAGAAGGTAACCAGGACATTGGGGGCAAAGTTGGAGATAATAAAGGGATTTTTATTGATCATCTGACTGTGTTGCCTTTGTGCCACGCCCCTTTGGGTCATCACACTTAGCACGTGTAAACCTTTAACACAGGTAGGCCTCGAACTTATGAACTCTTTGTTGAGCGACTGTTCGAAATGACAACGCCCTGGGAGAGGAAAAGAAGTGACTTATCCCCGAGTTTCACACTTAATGACCGTGGCCAGGGGATCGAAATTCCAGACGCTTGGCAACCAACTCGTCCTTTTATGACGGTTGCAGTGCCCCAGGGTGACGTGGTCCCCTTTTGCGGCCTTCTGACAAGCGGAGTCGAGGAGGGGAAGGGAAGGGTCCCTTAACGGCCGCACGATGCAGTTAATGTTGCAGGGGGTAGGGTTTTTTTTTTTTTAACAATTGTGGTCGTAAGTCAAGGACTTGCCTGCATCCCTGTTGGCTGTTTCTGCTGTTCTCCCTCTGAACTTGGAGGAGAAACCTTGGCAGGCTGCAAATTCTCCAGTCTTCTTCTTCCCCGTTAGCTGAGCCATTTAGTGTCCCTCCCCAAAAGTTTACCTGTTGGGCTCTGGGCAGAGTCAGCTCCGACATGGGCACACCTTTGGGGGCGGAACTCGTGGCTTGGACCAAAATTCTCTGGGGAGGAAGAAAAAAGGTGGGTAGATTGGGGTCAGTTGGGGGCTGGGGGTGAGGCGGAGGTCGGATTCAGCAGGTTCTGACCGGTTCTGGAAAAACCGGTAGCGGAAACTTGGCATCCTTCAGAGAACCGGCCCATCCCACCTCTGACTGGCCCCGCCAACCCCATCTCTTCCCCGCCTCCCATCGAGTAACCCAGCTGATCGGCTGGGTCTCCTTTGGTTACCCTGCAGAGGAGAACGGAGCTGGAAAGCAGGTTAAGTGGGGTGGGGAGGGAAGGGGGATTTTGGTAGTATATCCTTCCCTTGCCGTGCCCAGAGGCCCAGGAGTAAAAAATAAATAAATAAATAAAATCGAATCCCACCACTGGGGTGGGGGCTGAGACCAGTAAGGCCATACCTAGAGTACCGCATCCACTTTTGGTCGCCGCGCTATAAAAATAGCAAAAGATGTTGAGACTCTAGAAAGAGGGCAGAGAAGAGACTAAGGTATATATATGATGGACGGTTGCAGGAACTGGGCCTGGCTGGTCTAGGGAAGAGAAGGACCAGGGGAGACAGGAGAGCGGCCTTCCCAATATTTGAGGGAGGGGCTGCCCCGGAGAGGAGGAGGAGGAAGGGGGTCAAGCTATTCTCCAAGGCACCCGAAGGCCAGACAAGGAATTATAATGGATGGAAACTGATCCGGGAGAGATTCAACCTGGAAATGAGGAGAAACTTTGTGACAGGGAGAACGATCAGAGAAGCTGCCTTCGGAAGTTGTGGGAGCTTCACCCCGGAGGCTTCCAAGAAGAGACTGGACTGCCATTGGTCAGAAACGGTGTAGGATCTCCTGCTTGGGCAGAGGGGATTGGACTCTAGATGACCTCCAAGGTTCCTCCCAACTCAGTTAATTTGTTAAATGGTGTAGGGTCTCCTGCTTGGGCAGGGGGGGTTGGACTAGATGACCTCCAAGGTTCCTCCCAACCCAGTTAATTTGTTAAATGGTGTAGG